CGAGTCCTTCATTATTTTATTTTCATAAAATTTTTTTATATAACTATTGTCCGTGGATCCAGTTTAATTAAAAAAAATGGGTTCCTATCCATCTTCACCACAAGAACCTTAGGGAGGGAAATAATCGGAAAAACAGTTTTATTTTCCTGCAAATGATTATTTATTTAAGTCATGAAAGACTTTTTTTTCCGAGATCAGCAGCCTCATCGAGTGAGGAAAATTAGAAAATTCCATTAAAATCGATTTATGCAAACGGGAAAGGTTTTTGGGCCCAAAAGACAATTTCCCTGAAGTTAAATTTTTTTCCTCCTTTGGTGGAAGCGTTCATTCTTTTACATTTTCATTTTCCGTACCCTAGCTAAATTTTTCGTACCCCCACAGGGGGGGGCGTCGGTCCCCCTACTTACGAATCATGCCCTAGGTACCTTACAACCCCCCAAAGGACTCGGGAACGTTTCCACAATGTCAGTGAAAAAAACACGCGACTCTTATTTGTGAGAAGTTTTTGCCCCTTTTAAACCCCAAGAACCGGACCGCGATTAACGGAGGGAGGGTTTGAGTCCATTATTTATTTAATATTTTAGCTGAATGACCAAGATTTAGCAGTCATGAATATTAACTCTATTATATTTTTAAAATATATATATATATTTATATATATATATTTTATATAAAAAATTTATATTATTTTAATTGGGAGGGTCCCCCTGTAGAACTGTCGGGGGGCCCTCACCCTCAGAAAAGAAAAAAAATTGCTTCGGGGAAAACTAAAGGTTCTCCCTAAAAGTGTCTGAAATTTTTCCACTACCCCTTATTTTTAATTTTTTTAAAGACAAATTACATTGCAAACATTCACAAAATACATAGAAAGAAAAAACAACATGTTAAAACTCGAGCCATTAAAAATTACTTGTCCAGCTCCCGGCGGTGGGCCGCGTGCCCCGAATGTGCGGATTTCCTTCTGGATAACACTGAGTCTCTGAAAGAGGGGTGGTCGCCTGTGGTCCTTTTTTTTTATGCGAGCTTTTCACCCCGCACTTTTAGGAACTTTAAAGCACACCTTCCCCCCCCCCCGATTCCCCACCCTATTGGGGTGAAATTATAACAAGGGGGAAGGTCTTTAATTTGCGGACTTTTTGGGGCTCCCCGTAGGTGGCAGCTCCCCCCTTCAGTTCGGAGTATGGCAAGTAGGTGTCTGCCAAAAGTTGGCAGCCAGGGGGTAGTCCCGGCAAGCTGCTTTCCATCCTTCCAAAGGGAGCATAGTGGCTTTCCCTCAGGGCGTTTTTCTTCCGTCAGACCCTGCACTTGGGGTTCCCCTTGAACTGGTGTGGGGGGTTCTCTTTTCATTGACCCCCTCATGTTTGCTACTTTCTGCTGTGGAACGAGACCATATTTTAATTATTAAAACACTTTCACTCGTTTTCCAAATTACGTTTATTATTTAATTAAAAAATAGCATTAAAACCGTACTGGTCCTACCCCTGCTCGCCCTTTTTGTGAAAACTCATTTCACAGCAGGAAATTTTTTTTTTTGGGTACGTGGCTGGAGTGTGTGGTGAATGTCGTGTGATGCCCGTGTTTGACCTGTGATTAGTAAACGGGAACAGATGGGACTTTCACGAGTAAACTGAGGCTCTCTATCTGTATATTGAGTGGATCCAATAAGAGCATAACGTATTCCGTGGCTATATGAAGACAATTTATGCTATTTCAAGAACATTATACTACACTGCCCATATGAGAACGTATCCAAATTTATGCAAGAATACAAGCTTTTAATGGGTTATATTAAACCTCTAAAAGGTAAAGTACGACTATGTCAACAGCATATAAGAATAAAAAAACATTTCATGGACTAAATAATAACATAAAAGTATTTCGCATCCATGACAGAGCATAATATTTCGTAGTACCTATGCAACTAACATTTCATGGTCATGTAAGACATACAGTAAGAGTGAGCCAGCTATCTTTGGAAGCCACTTTGAGGCAGACGAGGCGCAGCACTTGTTGTCTCACCAGCAGCAAGAGTTAGCTTGCCCGCAGAAAACCATCTCCCAGCATATACACTTGCAACATTAGGCGGACTGCTTCTGGTCAGTTTGTAAACATTGTGGGTGTCTCTTCCCCACGGCCGGGAGCCCTTCACACTAGTGCCGCCACTCACTTCCTGACTCTCATTTTCATCCTGGAGACTTCGTAGGGAGAGTTGCACCGTGATGCAGATTTTCATTTGCTGTTTTTTGACGCCGGTGTGGCATTGTGTTGATAATCATGTGAAGATCTAAAGTAGAAAAATCTGAAGTGTTGCTGGGTTGTCCTAGAGCTGTGAGGACCTCAAGTGTTACTGGGTGGTTCAGGAGCTGGATTATGGCCAATTAATGTGAGCCACAGCCACAGTGCTGTCAGGAAATATTTTAGCATCAATATGATCAGAAAGTGAAATATTCTAAATGAAAAAGCCGAGGAGGAACTCATGCATAAATTTAAGAATTAGGACTGTCAGGCGACAGTGAGGTAGGTGAGAGATGGGAGGGGGGGGTGGGCTGACAGGTAGCGAAAGTGAATCTTGAATGGAATAGCTAGACATGGGCAGGAATTTCACATTCTGACCCTGTTCACATAACAGTAACTAGGTACCAAAGTGTTATGGGAGTGCTGTGGGTCGCATCCTGGGTGAACGATTAAATACTAACACTGGCGACGGACCTAGCGAGGAAACCTCTTCTGGTGTAATTACAAACACGTCATCTCTCTCACGTTTGTCTATGTCTAAGTTCTCTATATACCACAAATACAAATATTCCTTAAACCTGCCGGGTCTCGAACCTTTCACTTCCGAGTAGACGCCATGCCTGCACTGAGGTCCTCGTGGGCGCGGACAAGATTTACGGCCATTTCATTCCTCCGAAGAACTTTTGAATTAACCCTTTTTACACTAATAAAAAAAACAAAAGAACAGCTGAATTCGTTTCCGGTTCAAATCTGACAGCTTGGGTTCATGGTGTTACAGTCACTCTGCATTCGCTTCGAATGTGTTCCAAATGAATATGCGTGTTCACGATGAACCATACACTAACAGCAAGGAAGGGGAATCCTACACGAATAACGTTCTCAATGATATGACATATTTTCATTCTAGAGATCCTCCATCGCCTTTATACCTTTGATCAGTTTCCACAGTATTTCTACTCTAAAACCGGGCTCTTCTGGTGCTTGCCTGGTCAACCAGGCTGTTGCTGCTGGTGGCCCGCTGGCCCACATATCCATCACAGTCTACCAGACTGTGATGGATAACTGGCACCTGGTGAGGAGGGTTT